TAAACCTTATTTTCAATAAGCAATCCTGAAAAATATTTGGGGGTGCTTAACTTTTTTCCAGGTGTATAAAATCAGATGGTGAACGAATGAATACTCCAATATGGTGAGTTGGTGTGGTTGTGTTACATACCAGCAGCATAGAAGCAACTGGAATCTGGATAAACTAATGTATACCTAGTCCTCTGATGAATGGGTCTCCTGAAATGAAGTACAGTGAATATGAGGTACATGAAAGCACGTGAAACATGTTGATAAGTTGCAACCATACGTCACAGACAAACGTTTGGTGAACTAGCTGGACCAGGATTCTGGAAAGGAGACCATCGAGTCTGAGGAAAATGAGGATGCAGCCTCAGGTCATCACAATACATCCACTAATGGGGATGACACAGCAAATGCTTATCTGGTGGTCTTTGAAGAGCCAAATGAGGAGTCAGCAGAGATGGAAGGAATTTCCAGTCCCACTCAGCAGTCAAACACAGTCACTGGGGTTCTGATTAATATAAATGGGATTAATCAATGATTTCTCATATCTAGGATGATTATTTGGTTACACATTTAATGAGTGAAAGGACATGCTTTCTTTGCTCTCCAAGCTATGATGCTGAAATGTGTATCAGAATAGTAGATTACATCTGATGGAGTTTACATCATTCTTTGTGAAAAATGCTCCAAATCTGGTCAACAAGTAATGTTAGTCTTCTCAGAGAATGTTGAAGTACAATGGTGACAGCATTCAGATTTTTCTGAATTTTGACAATGATTAATTATTTTGTGAAGCTTGAAATAAAAATGAATTGATGGTTCCTAGATGGAACTACCATTGCTATCAAGCATAACTTCAGTAGGAGACCAAGAAATTAACGAGGTTGGTCATAGACTAGATGGAGGCAAGCTGTGCAAAACTGATGGGCATACGTAAACAAACATGCATTTGCAGAATATTTTTATTAAGCATACAGTTCCATCTGATAATTTCTTGAAATTGTTCCATTACCAAATACACTTGTAAGGCAGTAAAATGCTGGCTGCAAGTGTAATAGGGGAAGGCAGGAGGAGTGGTTCACGTGGTGAATTCTTGTAATTCGTGCAATAACTATTACACAAGCAACCTGAGTGAAGGTGGAGAGAGAGAGGGGGCCAAATATTAAAGGGGACCAGTGATGTGTCCCATTGGTGGGTGTTCCACAATAAAGCAGCAACATCATCAAATGTACTCCCACCTTTAAACAGAACACCATATCCCTAAACCTAAGAAGATGTTCCACGACCTAGGTGCATCTTGAGGGGTGCAAAAAAAACAGAGTGGAATGAGATACATGGCTCAAGCAAACAAGGAGGTCACTCTGTCAACCACCAACGAAGGAGTGTCAACATCAAGAGAAGAACCCCCAAATACCATATGCCTGGACAGATGTATGCTGCAGTGGTTAGTGAGAGGCTCCTGTTTAAGAGACAGTGGGATCTTTCCATGCAAAGTCAAGTAGAACTGAAAAAGATGAACATTTACTGTCTGATGCTAGAACAGAAACAGTACTGCCAGTAACTACTGAAGCTTGGGCCATATACAACAGAGAAGATCAACTGAGGCAGGAATCAATCCCTTTGACATGGTACAAAGAGGAGGTGTGGTGCCAGTGAGCCAGGTTAGCTGACACTGAGAGAGCCCTGACAAAGACTCAGCAACCTCAGAAAGTCAGCAGCCAGCTACTAAACCACTGTAGCTCTAGAGAGTCTGCTTGTGGTGTCACAGTGAGCAGGAGTAATACCTCAATGCTCTTGAGAATGAGAAAAAAATCCATGTAAATATCTCCCAGTGGAACATCGATAATTTGTGATTTACAATACTAAAATTCAGGGTTCAATTCCCTGTGATGGACACAACAGGTAGCCCATTGTAGCTTTGCTTTAAAATAAAACAATTTATCATTTAGTTTCTGCTGTAAATGTTTCTGTTCTTTTGTGTATTCACTCCGTGTTTAATTTGAGGGTATTCAATAATCTTTTTTGTTTTTTTAGTGATGAAGTTTCAATTTTAAAACATACAGTTAGCGTTTTGTAATTTTCTTTCATTTATTTTGCTGAAAGAATTTGTTTGGTTACTTTGTGTTAGGTTTAATGTTAATTTTCTTTTATATTGTATTTTGAATTTATCATTTTCTTATGTATTTTGAGTTAATTCATAATTTTTATTAAAGATTTTAGTTTCTTAGCTTCATTTTACTTTATATGCAATTTTTTAGTCTTTCTGCTCTTTTAAACAGACTATTTAGTGACGTTAGAGCAAGTGTGATTGATAATGTATACTGAAAGAACAAGTATTCTTAATGTTTTTGACTCCCCTAAATATTACAGCTTTTAGATATGAAGCCGAAATAGGGATTGGTAGACTGAAGAAATAATGTCAAGACTATGTCTCAAACCTTAAACTTGTTTGTTTACTTTTTTTGCAATTGCATTTTCATCTTGTTTCTTAAGATTTTTTTATGTCCATCATGGACATAAATCTGTAGCAATACTGAATGAATAGCAAAACTGTCCTATTTGAAACAGTGTAGTTAAATGAAATACGTAGTTAATGTATATGCTCTCTTGGGAAATATTGTTCCCGATATAATTGCAATGTTATCACTGCATGTATGATCACTATAATGCCTGGTGAACAACACACACAATACAAGCATAAGACAATGTGTCATAATATAATAGCATATTTATACAAACAAGTATTTTTAATATTTCTCAGTTATATTTCCCCCTTCCTCCTTTCCACTGGCCATAGTAAGGCTGATCACAGTTTTGCTGCAGCTGGCCAGATTTCCTCTTAGAGTGACATTCTGCACACTCTACAAGGTCGAGAATGTGTTAACTTAAAATTATGAATTGATTATATTAATATATTTCCCCTTCCTTTTCTGATGAAGTTTATGTTGTGACACTTCTACCATCCTCTCAGCCTCTTCCACACTGATGATCCTAAAGTCTGGCTGCTATATACTTTATATGAAAATAAATAATTCCTAAATAAAATATATAGTTACAAAATGTTGCCTAGAATTGCCATCATTTTCTCATCTCCTGCTTGCACGATTCTTGCCACCTCTTATGGTCAGCTTTCAAGGATACTTTATATGCAGTATCTATAAGATACCCAATCATGCAGTGTTGTAGATAAATCAACACATACCATCAGCCTGCACCGTGATTGCCAATCAAATGCTCAAAACTGAGCTTGATGATGTCTTTTAAACTACAGCTTAAAAATTTCTGTTGTGGGATGTTTTAGACATTTGTGCAACATAGAAGAATTGATCATGCAGTGGTAAAAAAAAAAGTGATCCTGTCAGAAGCGTTGTGTCCGAAAGGGCAGGAATCCCATACATAAACAAATGATACAGGATGTCAATACAGTTAGAGCAATAAGTTAATAATTGCTATGGTACATGTGTCATGTCTGCCATATAAATATTAAATTATATCCATGGCCTGCATGCATATTAACCACAGACTATGTTAGAATCATTGGGTATCAACAGTTATACAGCCACTGTTATTTGCTAGGTAGTCAAATAAATTTAAAAACTACTCTACACAACATGCAATGATGTGTTTACTAATAGTACCCAGCTTTTATTTGATTTCTCCAAGCCTGTTCCCTTGGCTGTGGTTTCGCTAGATAGTAGATAGGGACAGTGGGAATTTCATTTATCCTTTCATGTGCGTCACTAATTAGATGACGAGGCATTTGGCTACCTTAAGAGTCATAGTGGTTGGCCATTTTTGCTGTAGGCTGGCAGAACAATACTAAATAATAATAAAGAAGAACAAATGTGTGATCCCTATTATAAACACTACCGTATTTCATGATACTAAAAAGAAATACATGGGAGGAAGAACTTTTTTTCATACCATGTATAGAAATTTTTCATGGATGTTCAAGGTCAACTAATAATAATTAAGAATTGCAACAATTGTACATGTTCCAAGTAAGTATATTACATACAACTCAAGTGGAATATTAACAATAGAACTATTACCTCATGCCTATTACAGTCAATCCAACTAAACAATCTAGATTACCTCAAATAGGCAACCTATTTGATTGCCAACAACTGCATATTCCTAGTATTTAAATAAGTTATAGTTAAAACTACAATTGAGACAAAGGCAAATCCCCATCTGATTTATTTTGTTATGAAATACATCCCTGTTACAATGGTAAATAATGGTGCATATAAGAAATAATCAACCAGAAACATCTCTTATTATGTCAGACATTGGTAAGACACACTAGTGGTAAGTCTTCATACATAGCTTCAGTGTGGCTCTGTCTTTATGTTAGAGAACTGGAAGTGGTTCAGTTTAGTTTTGATACTTCATATATATATGATGCCATCACTTTGGTCTAAAAAGAAAAAATTACATTACATCAGAAAAATTTCTTTTATACAATACAACAACTGCTAAACCATTATTGTTTTTAATGTTTCCAAACGCAAAGATGAAAATCTTACACAAGTTCTATCCTTACAAAATAACATATTTGCAGTTTCAAAGAGTGATTTGTTTTATAAATATAATGATAATTGTTAACTACAGAAATTAACAGAATCACATTAAAATATATATTTAGTGTTGCTCAATACTAATTAAAAAAAGACAAAAAAACATCATATATTGATTGTGTCAAGTAGCTTAACATTATCAGCAAGTCATGCATATTAAACATTTAAGTATAAAAAAACATCTTTTGGATGTGTAAAGTCCAAAAAGGCCTCAAGTCTAGCAAATAGTTTATTTAACTCTTAGTGTGTATTCATCAAAATCGGTTCATGAATATTATTTACAAATAAAAAAAGTTATGGTTTGTACAACTTTTTTATAACCATCAAAGAATGATTGCAATTATACTTGTCATAAGACAGTATTAGAACAATTACATTTATTCTGTATTTTATATGAATATGACAAATATAGTGTGGTTGGAATACTATTATTATACATTTTTCTAAATCTTGAAAATCCCTAAAGGACTAGATAAAGAATGCAGTGTTTAAAAATGTAATAGGCCTAATACTAGTGTCTTATGGCAAGTATAATTGTAATCATTGTTCACTTGCTTGTAAAAGGCATACATACCATAACAACTGCTGTTGTATCAAATGGCTTGTACGATTAATATTCTGACCATTGCTGCTTTTGTTCTATCCCAGTCAACCTGAAGAGCTCTGAACTGAGCAAAACACACCATTGGCAATGGAAATGATTAACATAGTGTGGTTGGAATACTATCATTATACACTCTTCTAATTCTTGAAAAGTCCTAAGGGACTAGATTAAGAATATAGTGTTTAAAAATATAATATGCCTTATATAATAGTGAAAAATACTTAGTGACTGATTAAACTTACTCCTTTCATGTAGTTGTAAACATCAATCTTCTCATTCTGTGAGTGTGCTCCATCATCACAAGCTCCTATAGGAAGAAGAAGAACATTCTTCCCAGTAACCTCCTGAAAGGTCAAGGTCACTGGGATACTGCCTCCCTCTCTAGTCATATCAGGGTCAACTCCAAAAACTACAACATAAGTAAATAAAATACTAATAAGAAGTCACATAATTCCCAATGTCATATTTATACAATAGTCATTTTGTTTACAAGTATATTATTCAAAAGCAATGAAAAAATAAAAATTATTTTCTGATTTGATGTAATGTTTTCTTTTGCATTATCAACTTTATTTAATCTAATGAAAACTGAAAATCTTTTCAACTATTAATGAATTACAAACAATATAATAATAAAAGTTTACTAGAAATTGCATTATGTTAGTAGATTTTCCTGAAAGCTTAAAAACCATAGAATGTTCTTAGAGTTTTTAAACAATACATAAAAGTTTAATGTCAGCAAATATCTTGTACTTAGGCAATACCTTCTAGCAATGTTGTGGATTGGAAACCAAATTAATAGAAGTGGCATATCATAATTTATGGAAAGACTAACAAAGAATTATTAGTGAACAATGATTTTACCTTTCAAAATGTTGTCACTGTTACTGTAATCTGGTGTTATAGTATGATATTTTTGGTAAAGATCAAGACATGCGGTAGAGTGTCATACAGCCAAAACAACCCGCTGCAGGACACACCGTGTTATTAACAGGAGAGATAGCTTAACGATATTTCACCTTCTGTATCTTGGACTGTGGTAATTCAAACTATCACATATTTTCAATGAATGTGCGTAACAATAACATAACAAATTACAAGGCAATCCATTAAGAAATACCTGAGATATAACATCTCCAATTTTGACTGAGTTTCTTCCTTTTTTTCATTTCTTTTTCTTCAAACAAAAAGTGTGGAAACTTCATTTGATAGAAAAACATACTTAACCTTTACAGATTTTTTTCAAATTTGGCACACTGATAGATCTTTTCAATTTACACTTAGGAATCTCATTTGGTGTAAAGTTAAGCAACATGTGCAAAGTTATTGAACAAAATCCACTCAAATTGGATGAAAACTTTTGCAGATGCCTATGCAAAAATCACATGAGCTATCAATCTAACATTTTTACAACAACTTCACCTAAATGTGGACTGTTTCTAGTTTTTTGTCCTTTGGATTAAAGACAGCTGAGGTGAAAGGTGAAAGTACAGGCAAATACACTAGTATTGGTTAGGCCAAGCACACTAGATTAGCAGTTTCTAGCTCAGGTTTTCAAAAGAATAATACAGGTGGATGGTTATTATAGATTACTCATTGCCAACTTTTCAGCACAAGTTTACTATATTTTATGAAATTATCCTAATTAAAGAGCATTTAGCATCACATTATATTAGCTTAAGCAATTAGCATAAATAATGATGCTTCAAAATACTGTACTGATTGATTGGGGGTGATGACAAGAAACAGTTAATCTAAATTCTATGGTGTTACTATAAAGGAAGCTAATAACACTGTTTAAGAGAGGAAAACCTACCACCATATATTTTAAAGAATCTGGTTGGTTCTATAAATTATAGGTCTGTTCTGAATAATAGGTTTGCATCTTCTTTTCTTGATTTTCTTACTTGCTGTGGTTTGTTGGTGTGTATTGACAGAAAGTCATGATATCTAATCAAAAACACCACAAGTTTAAAAAAAAAAAAAAAAAGGTGCAGCCAAAGAAAGGTTTCAGTGTGTGACTTAAAGGAATGAATTCAAAATTGGTAACAAAACTGGTAGTTACACTTATGGCATTGAAAAGAATTTTACAGCAAATATTCACTCCTTAATTAGCTAGGCCATGTATTTTGTTATACCCACCCGTCATGCCCCAAGTTGAACAAAAAATGTGGCCTAGCTAACTAAGGAGTAAATATTTGCTGTAATATTTTTATCAATGCTATAAGTGTAGCTACCAGTTTGGCTGCCAATTCTGATTTCATTCCTTTACGTCACACATTCAACCCTTTTTTTTCACACCTAATATGTTTTTAATTAGATCAATTTATATCTGACACTTAGATTGTTTTCTATAAATAAGAATCTTTTGTTTGCTTGTTGTTTCAATAAACAAAACTTAATATATTCAATAAAAACGGGGATTTCTATGATATAACCAGTTTACTGGTACAGGCCTAGCCTGTGAGAGTTTTTAGTATACTATTAACTTTTTGACGCATGTTTGTGATAAATGTTGTGTTTATAGTCAAATTTTCTTAAATAATTTTGGCCCTTGTTTACAATTGGTCTGTATATTTATAATCATGCTTGTACTTATCAACTGGCTAAAATATCCTAGTGCTTCTTACCAATCCTGAATACTCAGAATGTATGCTCTCCCATCATACAGAAATAACCCTTTTGTGTGCAAATGTAAGCATGTTATATGGCAACGTAAACAGATAAATAAAAAACATTACACGGCTCTTTCTGGATGTCATGGCCATTTTAAATTGTATTCACTATCTAGCACTGACTGAATTTGTTTGTATAGGTTATCTAGATTTTGTAACGATACTGCTGCTTAATATTTTGAAAAACTGATAACAATTCTATTAATACACATAGCTAAAAAAATTATTAAAACCCCAATTTCTATTTTACTCTAATGCAAAAGTGATACTAGAATGAGAATTTTCATAAGTTAGTATTTTTGTTTAATTCAATCAATCCATTCATAATTTCCTTTTCTGGGCAAGCAAGATCTATACAAATATACAAACTCATAGCTAGATGTTCATATTACAAAAGTTGAAGTCAATTTTGAAGAGATATAACAGTAAAAAAATTTGTGTGATCAAGCTTGAAAACTTGGAATAGGTTAAACTTGCTTGACATGAGTTACATGAACTTTGTATTCAAACCTGCAAGTTTGAAATGCTAGTTTCTACTTTTGTTCACAATATTACAAGTTTTTATGCTTTTTAAAACTTGGTGAAAAGTGACACAGAAAGTCCTTTTAAAAGTGTATCAGCAATTACAACATCAAGCCTTTGCCAGTGTATTTGTATTTTTGTACAAAGCTTAACAAGAGATATTTCCAAAATAGCTATCTTTAATTTCGAACTAATAGAGGGAAGCACATTAACAACATCCATCATTAACTCTTGTCTGACTGAATAGTTGGATCTTTATCTTCACTTTTAGAGGTCACCTATAGCCCCAAATTGCAAAGAAACTTTTGCAGCAACAAGAAGCAAACATCCTCAAAGTCATATATAGGTATGCTAACTACTAAGCCACGAGTGTTCTGACCAGTAGAAAGAAGTAAGCTGGACTTAAATTTTAATGGTTATATTTTGGTTTTGTAATTAAAAAATATTATGAATTTCCAGCATCTTCTATATTTGGATACCAAATATCAAATATTTTATTTTAAAGGACATGATAATTACATTATAAACAAAGTGAAAGTAGCACCAGGTAAGGTTATACTAACTCATGGTTATTGCAAATATATTAGCAGATAAAAATAGGCATGAAAACAATTTTGCACAATCAAAGTAGAACAACTACTGTTTATTGGGGAAACTGAACTTTCCTTTTAAGGATTCCATTACAATATTAATTAACACTTCCCATAGAAAGGTCAAAATTCTAAGTATACAACTTCTAAAGAACTACTGTACCTGAAAAAGACAACTGAAAAAAAAGACTCATGAAAATTATCTATGTGATAATCACAAAAATTGTTACCAGCAGTGAACTAGGAGTTTATTTACAAAAATAATTTATGAGAGATAAAAAAATCCATGAAAAATAAAACCTTTATTCTTCTATATACAAAATCTCAGGTTGTAAGCACCTTTCTTCAGTTAATATCACTAAATACAGGGATAGAGTTAAAGGGATCATTCAAGACTTTAAGGCTGTGAGGTTTTATTATTTTTATTTTTTTTATCAAGATTTTTCTAGGTTTTCAAAGTCTTCTACAAACCTTGTTAATTGTTCCACAAATTTGGAACAACACATGGGATACAAATGATGCATGATTTTGTAATATAATTACTTAATTTATGTAATAGTAAAGTAGAAGAGAGATTTGTAACAATGAAAAAAAGATCAGTGAAGTGAAGGGATAAAATAATTAAAAATTATAAAAAAAATTTACTTTTTATAATAAGTATACTAAATAATGAGGATCATATATGTTTACAAAATCCCAATTAATCACTATTTTGTGTTTTTGGTTTTTATGCAATATGTATAGATACACACACACAATTTGTCTACATATTTACAACTTTGCAGTTTAGAAACTGTAAATAATATGCAGCAAGCTGTCATGAAAAAGAAAACTTTGTTGATGCCATTACATTTGATGGTACCAACTTCAAATATTTTGTACTGATGAAACTTTTGTTTTTGTTAGTTTATCACAAACTTCATTAAGACTAGAAGTTTGAAATATTCAACAATATGATAATAAATTGGCACACAAAGATTTATAAACATAATAAAGTGTTTTATTTTTTGGGGGGAATATACTACATGTTTCAACAGAACATTGGTCTGTTTTCTTCAGGTAACAATGTTCTGTCAAATATTTAGTAGGCTCCCCCCCAAAAAAAATAAACCATTTATTATGCTTACAAATCATTGTTTGAAAATTAATTATTATATTACCATAGTGTGCTTCAATACTCAAGTAATTGAGAATATGGTCATGAAAACTGATATAGCGAGTGTGAGGCCAGTCTGTGTTACCACTAGTCATATTTCTAATGTGTTAATGCTATTTCTAATGTGTTAATGTGCAAGATCAGCAAATAGTCTCCCAGTTTACCTTATATTCAGTTGTTCACATCCTGGGCAGATGATCAGAGTAAAGTATGTATCTGTACATACAACTATATTGGTCCTTGATACAATGTCAATGAGTACTTTTGTCTAATACCAGGGTTCCTCAGATTAGCCAAGATACAACAGACACAGTAGTGGTCTAAACATTATATATATCATCAACTTTCATGAACAACAACTCTTTAGGTGTGAACTAGATTAAGCAAGTGAATTGTAATTAATGTCAAATTTTATTATGTCATTTTACAAATCAGATTTCAGGTATGAAATAATAACCCAACTGTTATTTTTATTTTTATCTTAATTAACTTATCTATCATTCACAAGAACTGGCAAACCAGTAAGCAAGCTTTCTTGTTCCCAGAACAAGTCAAAGACCAGTCAGTAGAGTTAGGATTACACATGTTGTGAATTAAAACATTGCCTATATCATGCTAAGAAAAACTATGAGAAGTTCAAAGAAAATCTTTTTATGTTTAGACATGCAGACCACTACTTACTAACCTGTTTTCATGGCTTTCTGCCCTGCTTGATAGTGAGGGTGGGAGGGGTCACTCATCCAAGGTTTACCGCCATGAAACATATAGGCACTGAGTTAAAAAAAAAAAAATCTTATTTATATATACTAATAATAAAAGTAATATATTTTCAATGATGTCTGTTGAGGAAAGTGAGCCATATATGAACATGTATAAAAGATGAACTTCTTACAAAAGCTAGGTCAAAATAAAAATTAGTTTACAATACCTTCTTCACATTAAATAGCTTACACATGTTGTAACAGTCGATATAAAATACAATACTCCATCATGAACAATATGACTCCAATGTTCTTTACACAGTTATAAATCATTTTTTATATTCTCCAGAAAATTATATCAAACATCTAAAAACAGCCTTCAACATTATAATTTAAGATGCTGAAACACGAAAAAATATGTATTTTAGTGTATTCTCTTAGAAAATGCAAAGTATATATATATATCAAACATTAGAATTTCAATATACTAGAATTAGTTCAAAGATACTTTTTAATTTTGATACAAGCAGTGGCTCAACAATGGCTTCCCCAACTCCATTATAAACAATAATAATAATACATAATGATAAACAAAACAAACAATTACATACAAAAAACACTAAATTTGCTGTATTCATTAATGCTCTCTGTTTATACTTCAGGTTTACATTGATGATACATTATGGTAGATTCTTTCAAATGTAAGCAAAAAGTATCACACAAACAAAAAAGCTGCATATATTTTTAACATCATCTTTACATATTCGACTGCTTGTATCAAAATTAAAAAAGTATATTGAAATTCTAATTTTTTGATACATACATACTTTCCATTTTCTAAGAGAATACACTAAAATATTTTTTTTCCTGTTTTAGTTTCTTAAAATGTTGAAGGCTATATTTTTTAGATGTGTGTTAGAATTTTTTATGCAGCAATATAAAAACACAAGTAGATACTGCTAGCAAGTCATCTTGAGTGTTGTTGATTGACTAACAGTTAATGGGTGTGTTAATCACTATATTATCCAGTTGTTTTTTTGTTGTATCTATGAGAATGTTTGTTAGTAAATATTAAGCTTTGTTTGTGAGTTAGGCCTATCATTAGTTTTAGAATTTCTCTTGAAATGTTATTTGTGAAGTTTGCCTACAAGTGGACCTAACTAGCAGAGTTTGTGCTTTGTAGTTGAAGTAGTAATAAATGCTTTTTTTTTTCTCATTATTATTATCATCATCATTACCTGGACTGGACTTAGCACTATTTTACTAAATAATCTAAAAGAACCTGTCAAACCACAGAAACTGTTACAACATTGGCATTAGAAGTGAGATCATTTTAGTAAAAATAAAATACAATATAGACTAAACTTCAAGATGACAACATGTAACAGTGGAAAGTTGACAAATAAGTTTACAGAAAATAAAAACAAGATCAAGAAGAAATTTATGCAAAATTAAAGGATCAAGAATAAAGACAAATGTTTAAAAGAAAAGTACAGAAACCTAAAAAAGTCAAGAAGTAAGAGATGGGAATAAAAAAGAAATTACAAGAAAAAGATTTAAAGTTTAGAGAGGAACAAAGCACAAAAATATTTTACTGAAGATAAAAAGTTATTTGGATATATATATATATATATATATATATATAT